TATGATTTTGTTGAGTTCGGGTTTGGTCTGAAATTATCCATATATTTTTCCATTTTTCAATTGAACGTAACTTTGTTATATATTTTAAAAGAGTTTTAGAATTTGAAGCATTAATAATTTTAATTATTAAAGGTCGCCCGGAAGAATGAGTTTTACCTATTCGTTTAGCGTGGACAATATTTAAGTTTAAATCAAGGTTACTTAACATATATCTAGCTATCGATAAAGCATTATCTGCGGTCTCATTTTGTTTTTCAGATAAGTTGAAAACTATAACTGTGGATTAGAAGAAGGTGTAGTTTTTTACACAGGTATGACAGATTTTGCATTATGTGACATTTTTCATAAATAAGATATATTCGGAATAATATTAATCAATAAACGTAAAACGACGGAGCGCGAGATAAGCACAACTGCCATGAACAAAGTATAGTACTGTACTGTACTATATATATACCTGTACTGTGCTATATAAATGTGTTATATAGCAACATGTTATCAAAAAATTTGGAATATTATATTCTAGAAGTAGAACACACACAAATAGAGTAAATATATTATGAAATTACGAAGTAAAATGATTTAATTTTGTAATTTAAACCTATCATATCAAACTTGATTCGTCAATTAATACTTTCAAAACATTAGAAATTAATGATTTTAATTGTCTGTATGGAGAACATGGAATAAGTAACTATTTAATTGATAAATTAGAATTTGTTTTCAATTTTTGAAGGTAATATCTTCAATTAGATACGAATTGTAGTCATTTGACGTATCGTTAAAAAAGTAGGTCAAATGAGTGCAGAGAAAATAAATGATAGTCACAAAAAAATACCTTCTCAGCTTTGCATCGAAGCTAAAACCTAAAATATAGCAAAACAATTTTAATATGAATAATACATTTCTTCTCGCGAGTGGCAACTACAGTGATGGGATACTTGATCTTTATTGAATCTAAATGAGATAAAAATCAAAGGAGTTGAAAATTTATTCTAACTTCAAAAGAATTAAGAAAAAAATGCAAAAAATTTCATTGCCATACGCGGGTTGGAACCTTGTACCCCAGGCGCGTAAGATACAACATTTACCGACTCGATAACCGTAAGTGAGTTCAAATTTCAATGCTATTTTCTCGACTTTAAAAAAGCAAAAAAATTTAAATAAGTTTAACTTTGCTTGCTATATCAATTTGATTTATATAATATTTATGAAAAATAGTATACTCCCCTTGTCAGGTATTTTAAATTAAAATAAAATACAAAACCCTGAATTTTAACACAAAAATAGTATATTTTTGAATGATGGTAGTAATTTTCACCATAAGGACAAATCAAGAGGTCAAATTGTTGAAGGGGTATGAACCGATTTAAAAAAAAGTGTGTCAGATGAAAAGGGTATATAAAAATTATTTATCAAAAAATAACAATATTGATCTATACATTTTTCCAAAAGTTATAGCAATATGAATTTTTTCACAAAAATAGCACATTTTAGCATACGGTAGTAATTTTTACCATGAAGTCCAGGGGTCAAATTTTTTTTTTTCAAAATAAAATATATTACATTAGCTTTATTTTAAGTATAAAAGTTAAGTTTTTCCGGAACATTTTCAAAAATTAAGTAAATTCTTAGTGAAAAAGTTGCCATTTTGAAACCCTTCCTGTGGGCTGGTATGGGGTCAAATGTTCACAAAAATATATCAACAGATAGGTAAATACCTAAGGTAACTATAAAAAAGAATTATATTGATTTGGTCATTTTTAAAAAAAGTGATGGCAGTTTTAAGTAAAAAAAATTGAAAAAATGTCGAAGCGATTTTTAAATTTGTAATTTTTGGGGGATTTCCACCATTTACGGGGGAAGAGAGAAATTTTTTCAATTTTTGAGGTTAATATCTTCGACTAGATACGATTTTTGATCATTTAACGTATTGTTCATTAAAATCGGTTTAGCGAGAGCTGAGATTGAGCTTTCACAAACACACAAAAAAAAATTAAAATTAATAAAATCGCATCGAACCTAAAAAAAGAACATATCATGATAAAATTAATACCTTTCAGCTTTGCATCGAAGCTAAAGTATTCTCTATTATGGGACCTGCGTCTATTATGAATTTTTAATTTTTAGCTTTGATGCGAAGCTGATAAGGTATTAATTTTACCATGATGTGTTTTTTTTTTATTATTTATTTGTAAATTTTATTATGCGACGAAAGCGACGGACAGTTGCCGAATCGGTAACATTGTGTCTTTCATGCTTAAGGTACGAGGTTCGAATCCGCCTGTGGCAATTAATATTTTGTATTTTTTTAACTTTGCAAGTGGGCTATTTTATAATTCGTTCTGTAACAACAACATGCTTTGCCACTTGCATAACGACTAGCTATAGTAGCAAGGGTCGCCACCATCAAGGCAAGGTGTCACACCTATCAGATATGATTACTGGACCATAGGCGGAATTTAATTTTAAGTTAATTAAAAGTATAATCTAAGTTAATATGTCATTATATGTATAAATTACTATAATACCTCGTGGTTTATTAAACACAATTATGACAATCAAAGTTGTATGTGGTTTATATGTAAAACATACCGTATCCCGTGTCTAGATTAAGAAATAGGGATAAAATACACGTGAGTAATTAATTTACTAAATAAAATAAATATTACAGTTGAAATTAATTTAATTGTTCAAAAAAGAAAATTAAGTTAAACATGGACAAAAATGCGAATGCATCAAAAACCATGTCTATAAATAAAGGCAATAAAAATAAAATAAAATATTTAAACAAAAAAAAACAAATAATATTATAAACATCACGGACAGTATTGGAACACATCCGTTAATGTCAATCGGAAATTAATGAAAAACACCAGGAGCGGTCAGGACACTCGATCCTTAGCGTTGGCTAGAAGAAAAGGGAAACACGTGCTCTCCACATATAAACAAAATTAAGTTAATTTACGATAAAATAAAATGAAATAAAATAATTAATAAAATATAGCTCATTACATAAATATAATATATAAAAGAAAACCGGTGGCTCTACTCCATCATTAAATAAAAATGTCAATAAAACAATAATATCATATAAATAATATTCTAATATTCTTAAAGTATTTATTGTCGAATTAGAATTAGATTTGATATGATAAAAGTATTCAACTACAAAAGTAAATAATTTTACTTTGTAATTTATTAATTTTTTAACTCTATTTGTGTATGCTACTACCACTATATAATATTCCAATTTTTTTTTTTTAATTGTTGCTATATAAGTCATAAATTAAAAAAAAAAAATAATTTTTAGTTTAATCTGAATTTAACGATGGATTTATACAATTATAATCAATTTTTATATTAGGCTTAATTGAGATCTTTTTAACAACTTTATTTTTATTGGTTTTTTTTAGATATATAATCATTAAAATTAGTTAAATTCTGAATATTTCCATTATAGAATCTTTTTAAACGCCAAAAGTTAATTAGAAATGATTACTATGATTTTTATTTAAGTGATCTATTACGATAAAAATGTAAAAAAATCGAACTTTTCTGATAAATGTACTGTAAATAGTAATTATAAAATTTCCTGATGCATATTAAACTTAACAATTTCATTTTTTTCTATTTAATGATGTCAATTTCAAACTTGCAAGTTGAGCTAAAAGTTATGGTAATAAATTCACTTTTTTTTTATTAAAACTTTCAATTTATAGGACAAAAAAAAGTAAGCTCAAAATTATTACTTTTAACATATTAAAAATCAAAATCAATAATAATTTGAAAACAATTAATTTAAAAAATTATATAATATATAATTAAAAGAATTACTAATATGGCTATAATTAAGGATATTGAAGGTGATGTTGCTTNATGGCTATAATTAAGGATATAGAAGGTGATGTTGCTTTTGTAATTTTACGTCAATTTCTTAGAATTAAACACTATCTACAGATTTGCTTCGAAGCGTTTCTTATAATAGTGATTTTAATCACTGTCAGATTAAATCTATACTGGACCCAACTATGCAACGTCCCCACTATGCCTCGACCCCACTGTGCTGGGTTTTTTTTATACATTTTAAACTCGTTTTATATTATATTAAGTTTTTGCTAATAATATTTTCGATGAATTTCCTATAGTCGACATCGATATTCATAAAAGTTACTCTAAACTTGTCAAAATATAATAATAAGACAGTGGTGGCCCAGCGTTTCTCAGCGTAAAGCCTTGGCTATTGCAGACACAGTTAATCTCGTTAATATATATTAAATATTATTTCAATACACCTTTTATTATCCTTTACGCCAACTGCCTATCCTTTATCAAGAGGTAATTGGTATAGTCCTTTATGGCTGGCAGGTACATATGAAGAGGATATTTCCAAGATGTAGTTTCCCACCTTACGAACTATATATTTTATAAAGAACTCTACCCGGACTACTAGTTCTAGAACTGACTTGTCGACGGATATAGCGCACTTATTATTTTAAAATAAAATATTATTTTTATAAATTTAGCACTACACTTTACCTCAACTTCCTGCACGTTACCGGAAGGTAATTGGCATAGTCCTTTATGGCTGACGAGTACACAGGCAAAGGTATTAAAAGGGAACCAATCAATAGAATGGAAGAATAGTATTGTGGTGCCATTATTAAAGATAAACAATACATACAGGAGTGTGGAACTCATAGAGGCATAAAACTTATGAGTCATAGTATGAAAAATTGGAAATAGGTAATAGATAAGAGATTAAGAAATGAGTCAACAATGATGCCATTATTATATGTGAAGCGAGTATTAGAAAAGATTAGGGAAAAAAAGAAAAATCTGTGTATGGTATTTATAGATTTAGAGAAAATTATGATAGAGTACCGAGAAAGGTTTTAAATTGGCCTTTAATAAGAAAAAGAATATCAAATATTACATTAATATAATATTGGATATGTATAATGGCACTTGTATCAGAATAAAAAGTGTGGGAGGGGTAACAAAAGGTTTTTGGATAAGAGTAGCAGTGTACCGAGGTTTTGCTTTAAGTCCTTACTTATTTTCTGTAGAGATGGATAAAATTATTAGGGAAATACAAGGAGAGGTACCTTGATGCATGTTGTTTGCTGACGATATAGTGTTAATAGTGTTATAGTGTTATACGATATAGTTTTTCATTGTCCTGCTCCATATTTATATTGTTTTTCTTTTTGGTTTTTCTTTTTGTTGTTGTAAACTTATTTTCACAATGCAAACTTCTTGGTGCATTTGAAGCTGAAGCCTTTTGTATCCTAAGCTTTTCAGTTTCCAATGGTGTAGTGAAGTTAGGTTTTTCAATTTCCGATCTTTCACCTTCACCTTTGAGGTCACTTAGGATGTCAACGGAATTTTGGGTCTCCGTTTGAGGGTCTTTATCTGAAGATTCACTTTCCTAAAAAATGAATAACTTATATAATTTTACGCTAATAAGCTTAAAGGTTAATTAAATTATAAGTGGGTTACCTAATGTCAAAATTATAAACAAATATTATTTTTATTTTAGGTGCCCAACAACTCAGTACAGTGGCAAAAGTTGGCAAATGATTATAACACAAGATGGAATTTCCCAATGTGCTTGGAATGCATGTTGTCATACAATCACCCAAATATAGCATAAGCAAATTTTTTAACTATAAGGGCACATTTAACATTGTTCTCTTTGCTGTAGTAGATGCGAACTACAATTTCACCTACGTGTACATTGGTTGCCAAGGGCGCATATCAAATGGGGGAGTTTTTAAAAATACCGGCTTTACCAAATCCTTGAGCAAAGAAATGCTTAGTCTGCCTCAAAACACATCCCTTCCAGGGAGACAAAAACCTGTACCATTTGTTTTTTTAGCCGACGATGCTTTTCCGTTATCACCAAATATCATGAAACCGTATTCTGTACACCAGGAACACGGATTTATTCAACCTACTTTTAAATACCGCCTGAGCCAAGAAAGAAGGGTGGTCGAAAATGTGTTTGGTATACTAGAATCTGTATTTCGTATTTTCCGAAAACCTAGACTACTAGAACCACCAAAAGTAGAAAAAATTGTGCAAATTTGTGTTTTATTACACAATTACCTGCGCCGAAATGCTGAATCAAAAAATTATTATACACCACCGGAGTCATTTGACATAGAAGATATAGATTTAGGAACTATTAGAAATGGATCATGGAGGAATGAATCACAACCAACTGAATCGATGTGCCACTAAAGTCTGTGGCAAGGAAATCTTTACAAGAAGCATAAAATATAAGAAACGAATATTGTCAATATTTTATTTCAGACCATGGACAAGTACCTTGGCAATTAAAATATGCGTAAATAAACAGATGATTACAAAAATCTAGAATATATTTTGATGTTAGCAATTCGTAATTAGTTATTTTGTGAATACCTAAATCCTTTAAAATTTAAGTTAAGAATAAACAAAAAACTTACCTCATATTCTCCACCGATCTGAATGCCTTTTCTGGGTTTATTTTTGTCATGGATAAAACTCATTGCGTTATAACCAAACCACTTGGGTGTAAAATGCTGACCCGCGCCAGATTTTTTCATTTTTTTATAATTCCTTTTTTTACGTTGAATTGTGAAATTATGTTTTTAATTTTTCTATCAATTTCCACCCAGTTGGTGTCAAACAATACTTTACAATACTGGTTATACACCAAATTACTTAAATTAATTATATTACTATTATATTGTCGTAACACAGGAAAGAGAATGGTGTAGTGAAAGTGTGAATGTGTAACTGTGTGTACGAAGACGAATATGAGGGGGTGGTGCCTGCTGTCTAGGTATTCACGTGCGTGTTGTCGTACAGCAGTCACCGTGCTCGGCTGACACTCCGGGTTAGCTGTGGGTGTCGAAAGGCTGTTGTTATAGGAAGGGAGAATAAGAGTAACACCTAGGTATGAGGTGCAGACGAAGTGCAAGACACAAATACCAGGTGTACGCAGAAGGAGCCCAAAGTATGAGGTGCAGACGAAGTGCAAGACACAAATACTCTGAAATGTCGAGGAAAAGAGTATATAGGTTAGAAGAGGAATAAACAAAGACTTTACTTTAAACAGTAAGCCGGACAGCGACAACCGAGTACTGAGACTGATGAATGACACAAGGCACTGGAGTCGACTGACCACGATGGTCAGGTCTATTGGGTTTTTATAATAATTATACTTATTGCCGATTTGGCAATAAATATTATTTGTTAATTCATCAGTCTCAGGCAGCGGATGTGCTGTCTGTATTTTATTAAAATAATTCTCACGATTATGAAAACGTGACACCATCACAATATTATTATATAATTATACTTTATTAATATTTATACTTTCGTTTATTTACTTAACTAGTATTTAGGTACATAATTCATATTTAGATTTTGTAAATTTGTAATTTGTTTTCAGGCACAACACGACCGTTTCCACTAAACTGTCTCGAGTTTCAAAACACGTCGAAACCTTTTGATCTCACCGCTACCGAGCGGGGACATGAAAAACAAAACTCGAACTGTCACAAAACACGCCGGTCTTCAAAAATGTTTGCGAAAAGTTCCAGTTTTGTTTTATTTGACACGAGTTTGAGTTTTGTTTTGTCCGTTTAGTGGAAAACCGTCTAAAGCGTGTTAAAAATTAGGTCCTACTGCGGCGATATTACGATTTTCGATACAATATAATTAACTCTATACGCCCGGTGGAATATTTCCGTTTTCGACATAAAATAACATAATTTTAAATATATATTCACTTTAGTCATCGTTCTCCTTTTTCATTGAAATTATTGAATCTAAATGAGGTAAATATCAAATGAGTTAAACAATTTTTCCTAATTCAAAATTCTGTGTAAGGTATTTTAAATTAAAATAAAATATAAAACTGATAATTATAATATAAAAATAGCATATTTTTGAATAAAGTTCGAAAATTTTATTTTCATATTAAAGTATATTGCATAAGCTTTAATTTAAGATATATATAAAAGTGTCAGTATTTCCGGAACACTTTCAAATGTTAAGTTGAATATGTTAATTTTTTGTGAAAAAGTTATCAGTTTGAATACCCCCCCCCCCATGAAGGGCAGATTTTAACCCAATTGATTTTTGCACTTTTATGCAGATTTTCCCCATTAACAAGGGAAATTTTTTCAATTTTTAGAGATAATGTCTTTGACTAGTTACCATTTGTGATCTTTTAACGTATCGTTGAAAGAAATCGGTTCGATGAGAGCTGAGAAAAAGTGAAAACAAACACAAAAAAAAACACATCATAGTAAAATTAAGACCTTCTCAGCTTCGCATCGAAGCTAAAAAATCAACGTAAAATATTAATTGAATCAATACTAAAACTATTAAATTTGACAAAACATTATCATTATACACTTTACGGTCCCTGATATATTTACAGTTAATTGTAAATATATTTATTTTATAGTTGAATAATTCCAATTAAAAAAATTATGTAACATTTATAATGCTACATAATAGTTAGAGCGTGGTGTGGTTCCCATCGGATTATTCAATGGCCGCCTCAACTCTGATATTCAGCAGTGCTGTTTGCTGTTGGTTCCCGAGGGGTGGCCATACAGAAATTTGAACAGTGAAACACAATTTACAGGAACTTTAATCCATAATGAGGTTGTGTAACTTGACAGCCAGTGTAAAAATTCTGTTAAATTATTAATGATTTGACAGGATTTTTGCATCGGCTTCACAATTGTAAGGTTGAGCCGACCCGAGATAGTTAGAATACTGGTTAAGTAGATGATGATGTAACATATAAATTAATACGTCCATACCAAAATGGCGGGAGTGCAATCATAAGATAGGATAATGTTTGAAGTCTGTATTTTTGTGTATTACTTTCTAGTAGTTCACAGTGTTCGCGAGAAAATTTCACGGTTTAAAAATTTAACTAATTGAACTAAGAATAATTAAGCATTTTTAGCTAATTATTTACCATGTATTCGATGAAGAACGACGTAGAAGACGTTATAAAAATAACATTAGAGGTATATAATTACATTTATTTTAGTTAATAAAATAATTTACTAAACAACTATTCCATTCAAGATCTATTAAAATGCAATTAATAATCAGCCTTATAGTACTATTTTTGTAATAATCTCCAATAATACATAATTTATTAACTATAATAGTTTAAATTTTATAGCGTTAAAAGAATAAAATATAGTTTGTTGAACTCGTCATGACAGTGAATTGAAGGATTCTGTAAGAAAATGATAAATCAATATTATAAGCGTAATACTTTTTTTAAATGTATCATTTAATTTATGCTTATAATATAAACAATAAATATACATGTCTTGGATGTAACTGGCTACTCTTAAAATTTTTGATTAAATTAAAATTGTAGACTATTTTTTTAACACTTTTTAAATCAGCGTTATTGCCTGAATCCGATGTCCAACATAATCCAATATCGATAATGCTAAAAAAAATTATAATTTTATTTTCATTATTTTATTTGATATAAAAAATTAAGTATAGTAATATGTACTTTTCCGGAAATTTTATTTTTAGTTTATCTCATATTAACCTAATATTTATAAAAATATTATGGAAATTTTCGGAGAAATAATCTCTATATATACGTCTTATAATTATCGGTTTGTAGGTGCAAAACTTGAAGTTCAGGGACGTTTAAAAAAATTATACTCTACTCCTTAGCACTCTTAGATATAATATAAAAGTGTATAGGGAGGGATAGTTATTAAACTAGTTGTAATTTAATGTTTTATAAATTTTTCTAAATTTAAGGAAATAAAAACTAGTCACTTAAAAAAAAAAGAAGCTGATTATGAGTTAAGCGAACTTGAAGTTAAAGAAAAGAATGCAATAAAGAAATTAATTGAAGTAAAATTAAAAAAAAAGAGAGAAAATGAAGGTAATTTTTATTATATCAAAACAGTATACGAATGTAGTAATTGAAATATAATAAAATATATTTATAAAACAATAATGATAAATTAATCTTTTTGTTTCAAAGTAAATTGTGTATTGATAAATATTGAACAGTGATGTATGCAGGTATTGCATAATTTTATACTATATTGTTTTTTTTCTTCTTAAATAAATTGTTATTTTAAATACTTATGAAATATTTTTTTTTGAAAATTGATTTTTTCCTTTTACTTAATTTTAATAAAAATATTTAGCTAACAAAAATTGTATCATATAAATTTTTTTTACTTAATAATACTTAAAAACATCATTTTCATAAAGATAATAACGTGTTCATTTCACAAAATTATTATTTGTCATAATTTATTTGTCCCCTACCAAGTATATATGTATAATTCAAGAGTTTTTGATAGAATCAGGATTATTCCTTCTAAAACTTTTCAATATTAAATTGTAATTAAGGTATAAAATATATGATAGCTTTATGCTGAGATACAATTTTCTTTTTCTCGTCTTTTAAACAAATTAGTAAAAACTAACTACGTGACTGTTACTAACCAATTTTTAAACATTTTAAAATTAAGCTGTATTTTTGAAACTTAGGTTCTTTCAACTTTACGTTGAGCATTGCTATAGTAGCAATAGATTATTATAGACTAATATTACACAAAAGTTGGCATTTTTTTAGAATTGTTCGATAAAAATTAATATTTATGATTTTTTAAAAAAAAGAAGAGTAATAATATACCCACATTACTGATGAATAACTATAGATAATTACAATAAGCCAGTGGCGTCATTTTTGGGGGACAGAGTGGACATTTGTCACTGCCCTTGAAAAATGCGTGTTGTTAATTTCTTTATACGTCCAAAGCAATTCGTTGTGAAATATGAAAAATCATGTTATTTTAGAATTTTTGTTATGACAAAATATTTTTTTACACTATTGTAGTTTATTTTAAATATGGCTATACATACAGAGTGATTCTTTTAGCATTAACGACTTAGTTATCATTAAATAATCATTTTTTTTTTTTTGCTTATGTACAAGCATTGGCTTTTATTAAAAATAATTATTATAAGGTTAAATGAATAAATAAATGACTTTGAGTGCTAAAATTAGATGTTAATTACTAGTACTTATACAATATCATTTTATACAATTCATTTTTATACTTTTACACTAATTATTGATTTATTTTGTTAATAATTCTTATTTTTGGAAGTTAATTTATATATATATATATTGAGAGAGAGTGTGTATATTCCGTAAGTAAGGAACGAATATATATTTTTCTCATTGTTTGTAACAATTGACCTGTTTTCTTACTTACTGAACATCGTGCATATATAAAGATGATTCTTTTAATGCTAGCCATTCATCTTATCTTAAAATAATACATTATTGAAACTTTTTTTTTTGGATTTTATTAATTACATATGTATTTCCATTTATCTGTTATAAAATAACTGTTAAATTAATTCCATATATTTTATAGGGGTGTCAAATTTATTTTTTTAAATAGCAACATATGTATTTAACTAGCTAATAAAATAGAAAAATATCAAATTAAAAATGTGATTGGTGGATAACATTTTTGAATCAGCGCTTCAGAAGATATTCATATTTTTTTTTGTACTTAGGTAGGAGGAAGAGTATGGCTGATATATAACTAATGATAAAAATAATAGCATCCACGTATCATCTCAGTTTATACTTTAAAATGATAATAACATTCAAAATTCTTGTTCAAAAGTTATTGTCGTTTATTTAATTACATTATTATCTATTAAATTAGCTAGTTTATTATGTGTGTAATCATTTAAAAAATTAAGTTATCATTCCTATAAGCATAAGGGATGAATAAAATTAATGTTTAGGAACACAATCATATTATATGTTACAATCAGGATAACAAAATCTTAAAGTTATCTCAATTTTTAAAAATTTATATTGTTTTAAAATTAAGTACATACATTTAACAGCATTTTATCGACAACTGTGATTATTTTATTGTATTTATCTTGATTTAAAATATTGCAGAAACTCTAAGATCAGCTCAAGAGAGTTTAGATATATTAATACAAAAAATATTGAATCGACAGAATAAAAATGAAATGTTAATTAAAACAATCGATCAAAAACGTAGATTGCTTATAATACTTAATCATAATACGGAAGAAAAAAAGTAATTTTAATGATTTTTTTTGTGTTTAAGGTGTTGAAAAGAATATTTGCCCAATACAATTTTTAATAGAACTAAAAATATATATTTTAAAAAAGATGTTTGTGTCTTACTGTCCCATCCGGCTCTCTTATATATCGCACATCTTACCATGGACTCACATAGGGAACCTGTTTGAGTCCCATTTTTTTTATTATATTATAATGTATTATATATATAGCGGTATAAATTTAGCATTATCTAATTGTGATTCTCAATCTTTGTTCTATGCTTATGATAAATTACTTTTTTCAATTCACAATTCCCCCTTCAATGCCATTTGAATCTATTTTTTGTCAGTGTGCTTGACAAGAGCCAATTAATTTTATTTACTCGTCAAAAAATAATACAGCCCTTATCTTTAGTTTTAATAAATTATGGCATTCCTGACTCCAACAAAGTAATCGATATTGGCCTAATTATACACCCTAACTCCATTGGCTTCCTTAATTTCAATATCTTTTATTCTTTATTACTTGATGAGCCAACTTTTTAAGAATTTGATAGATATCTCATGTGGTTTACGTCCTTATATTTGTTCTTCGCTTACTATAATTCTTCCCTATATATATAAATTCTATATAAGAAAACCTTTATATGATTACACTTTTCATTCACGTATATTAATTCCACCTATCTCTAAATTGTCCAAATTTTATCACTTGGTAACATTAGATCTCTACGAAAAATACCTGTCAATAATTTATCTTCTGGTTTATATGTTTCAACAAATATGTAAACATATTTTTTGTGCACAATTTCAATATTTATTTTTCAACTAAATTACTTTCATTTTGCCCTTCGTTTACAACCAAATATCATGATATCATATATGCAATTTATTATATTATATCAACTCAGTACATCCTGTCTTTTTCTCGGATTCCCAATCTTGTCTTTTAGCTATATCTTAAAGTCCTCAAGTTTCTTAGACAAATCCTTTCTTATTATTTACAAAATCATACTTCTCATTCTGTTATCAATTTATCGTAAAATTGATAGAAAATCGATTATTTTTCATTGGATTTCTCGATATGTAGTAATTTAGAGCAATGAAATAGCAGACTTCATTGTCACTTCCTATTCTAATTTATTACTACCATCAATTATTCTTTTCAAAATTTCCACGGCTCTTTCATAAAATTCTTTTAAAGGTATGACAATGTAAATGGTCTGTATTACCTTTATAAATTTAACTGTGTTAGTAAATTTTTTAACACTTCATAATGTTTATGCTCTCTATTCATTTTATAGTCTCAAACTATTATAGTTATTTACACTATTATTTCCTTTTTATAGAGTACAAATATTATTAATTTAATATATAGTATTTATAATATTTTGAGGTACAATATTTGTAAAGATAAAATCTCAATAAGTTTAAACTACTTTTAAAATAAACAAAAATACTAATTATAATTTGTATTAAATAAAAACACAGGAATCATGAAAAAATTACAAGAAATATGATGGAAAAAATTAAAGAAAAAACCGAATTAGTAGAAGTAATATACAATTAAGAACTAGTATTATAACACAATACCATTAAACGATATTATTTTTTACAATATTTAATAATGTGTATAATATATTTTCAGAACAATGCAGAATTATTACTACAAAAGCATAAATATGAAAAATTGATAGAACAAATTCAAAGAGAAATATGTAATATCAAAGATGATGTTAGAAATAAGCAACAAGGAATTAAACTAGAAATAAATGCTTTTAAAACACTTGAAGAATTGTTAGTCAATAATTTGGTTTTTATATAAGTCAATAAGTTTATAAGTTACAAAAAAAAAGGTTTTGAGATTTATGTAATAGTAAAGAAAAAATTTTTCCTAAAGGTGACATGTTTATTATATGGAGAGGATGACGGCGCTAGAAATTGCGTAGCCTTGTGATAAAAAAGTTGTCGGTTACTGTTAATATTTTTTTTAATGATAAATAATTTTTTTTATTTTTTATATACATCAAGAAAGTATTAAGTGTAACTTTTTTTTTAAATATTTAAAAAAGTTGATTGTTTTTAGCGATTAATTTAATCACAAATTTTATCCCATGATTCACAAATCGCCTTTTGAAAAATATATAAAGAATTATATAGTTTAAACATTCTATATTTTATTGATTTTTTTTTTTTTATATAAAATTATTTATAAATACAATAAACTAAAATAAGGTTTAATTTTCTGGAGGGGCATACTTACTTATCATACTTCTTTTTAAAAAATTTTACAATCCTCTTCAATCGAAATAAAAAATAAATAATAATATTTTTATCGTGGGGGTTTTGACCTTATCATTTCCATGGACATATCAAGTATAAACAAAATATTTTCGATTTTCACATACATGTATTGGAAGTTTTTAACACGTGTAATGCAAGGGAAAATTTTGATGAATAGTAATACAAATGTCATATTTGTTTGTGTACGAACTTTTAATACTTTAAAATCAAACTACTCATTTGAAAAACTAATCTGTATATTATATTATACTGAAATAGGATAATTTTTGGCTCATTTCTTACAATGTTGATGATGAACAAACAAATAATTTTTTTCTATGCGTTCAGCAACTTTCTCAAATTTGTCTGTTAAAAATTTGAGAAACAATTTAACGGTCATCAAAAATTTTAGCTTCGATGCGAAGCTGAGTATGTATTAATTTTGCCATGATGTGTTTTTTTTTTTTTGTGTCTATTGCCAACCGATTTTGATGAACAATATGTCAAAAGATCACATAAATTACGTAATTTTTTTCACTTTTTTTTCCCTAAAACTACCATAACATTTTCTAAAATCAACGAATCAATATATTTTTTTTTATATTGAAACCTGAGATATTTTTATTTCATTTGATATCAATTTTTTTTAAATATAACACTTAACCTGTTCATAGAGGGGATTTAAAACAGCAATTTTTTTACAAAAACTAACTTTTTCAACTTAACTTTTGGAAATACTGCGTTCTTTAAACATATGTCAAATTAAAGTTTACAATAAATACTATAAGTTCAAAAAGAAAAAAATTTTCACGACACCTGTTTTTCTATAGGAAAATGCCCATTGAATTTAACGAAAAATGTAATTTTTATGTAAAAATCACTGTTTAAAATAAAATATTTCAATAGTTAAAACTGCCATAACTTTTTGAGAAATGAACAAATTAGCATAATTTATTTTTATATTGAAACTTAAGATATTTTTCTTTCATTTGATATAATTTTTTTGAAAATCTGCCCACAGGGTAGATTCAAAAAAACAATTTTTGCACAGATGTTATGCTCATTCAATTTAATTTTTGAAAATGTTCCAGAAATATTGATACTTTTATTTAATATTAAATTAAAGCTTATGTAAAATATTTTACTACGAAGAAAATAAAATTCGAAATATATATTTTATTGGTGAAAAAGGCTAAAAAAATATGCTATTTTTGTGTTCAAATTGTGGGTTTTGTATTTTAAAATATCTTACACTGACTTTCGTAAATATTATACAACTTAATTGATATAAAATATAAATTTAAATTTTTTCTTTTTTTTAAGTTGAAAAAAGCAACTTTAAAAATTTAATTAGCTTAAGTTGCAAATATTATCAATTTACGAAAGCGACGAATAGTTGCCGAATAGGTAACACTTGTGTCTTTCACGCTTAGGGTAGGAGGTTTGAATTCGTCTGTAGCAATTAATTTTTTACATTTTTTCCTTAATTCTTTTTGAGTTAGAAAAAAAATTTAAAATTATTTGATTTTTATCTCATTTAAATTCAATAACCAATAAATGTCAAGGACCATCACTGTAGTCTTCTTTCATGAGAAGAAATTTCTTATTCATGTTAATACTATTATATTATGTGTTTTTTTTTTTGTAGCTGCAATTAACTTTCTTACCCTTACTTGACCTACATTTTTCAACGATACGTCAAATGATTACAATTCGAATTTAATTGAAGAAATTACCCTCAAAAATTGAAAATAAATCCCTTAATCAAATAATAAGTAGCTTAACCAGTTTTATCCACACAAACTAAGAATCATTCATTTCTAATAATTTTAAAGTATTTATTATCGAATTAGATTTGATATGATAAAAGTATTCAACTACAAAAGTGAATAATTTTACTTTGTAATTAATTAATTTTTTAACTTTATTTATGTGTGCTTCTAACATGGATTTTTACAATTATAATCAAATTTTATAATAAACTCAATTGAGTAGATCTTTTAACAACTTTTTTTTTTTATTGGTTTTTTAGTTAAAGTAAATCATTAAAACTAATTTAGTTCTGAATATTTTCATGGTAGAATTTTTTTAAACACCAAAAGTTAATTATAAATGATTTATTATCATAAAAATGCAAAAAAAAATCGAACTTTCCTGATAAATTTAGTGTAAATAGTAATTATAAAATTTCCTGACTGCATATTAATCTTAACAATATCATTTTTTCTATTTAATGATGTCAATTTCATACTTGCAAGTTGAGCTAAAAGTTATAATAATAAATTCATTATTATTTTTTATTAAACTTTCACAAAAAAAAGTAGGTTAAAAATGATTAATCCACCAATTTCTTAAAATTAAATACTATCTACAGATTTGCATCGAAGCGTTTCTTATGTTAGTGATTTTAATCACTGCCAGATATCACCTATACAGTCCCAATTATGCCACGCTCACACTGTGCCGCGACCCTACTGTGCTACCGTTTTTATATAAGTATATTGTAGAATAAGAAAATTGTAAATAATTATTAAAATAACATAATGAACTATCAAGTAAGGCGTAATAGGAGATATTTACGAGGTTTGTTTTGGAGAGGTATACATATGTGTTTATTATTAACATTTCCAAATAAAAAAAAATGAATCAATATCCTTGAATTATTTTTACTCTAATAGGATTTATTATTTATACTCTCTGCATGTTAAATTGTCCATACACTCAAGCTAACTAAACGAAATACAAATGTATTATGTAAACAAATGATAACTAAGATTGTATTATTATTTTATTTTTAATCGCTTTCTAAATCAAAACAAATGTGAACAATTTTATTGATTTTAGATGCAATATCATTAAAAAAGAGAATAAAGAAAAAAACGAAAAATGCAGTAATTTGGAAGAAGAAATTGCTAAAATTCAACCAATTATTGAATTATTAAAATCTGAGATTCAGAAAATATCAACAGAATAATTTTTTTTTTTTGACTAAATCTTAAAATTAATTTTTTTTTTTAATAATTCAGAGTTGACAAGATAAATATAGTGCATGTTATTTTTAAAGTAAATATTCATAAAAACTGTTTAATAGAAAATATATTATATGTAAAGAATTAGTACTTTTAATCTTATTATATTTGTAACTCAGCAAATTTAAGTTAATTTTAATAAAATACAATTAACAGGAAAAATTACAATTAAAATTAAATCGTGTGACATGTAGAGGATACAAAAAAAAAAACTTAGCTGTTATTCACTGTTATTTGTAAATATTTCAAGGGCTTTTTAAAATAGATTAGTAAACTCGAATACTTCATAATCCCGGTATAAAAATAGGTATGAATGGAGGAGGAGCATTTCTTAATTAATTCTCGTCTGTGAAACTAAGATATGATGATGAAATGATTAAAAATCACCTAAATTTGCTAAAAATAAACTCATTTTTAGCAAAAAGTTTAAAACTTCAGCGTGACAATATTATTTTTACTTTGTTGTGCTCCTTCAATGTAAGAACTATCTCAACTACTTGGGATAAACCACCATTAAAATCACTATCATAAGAATCGCTACGATTGATAATTACTATTTACAGTTAATTTATCAGAAAAGTTCGATTTTTTTTTACATTTTATCGTAATAGATCACTTTAATAAAAATCATAGTAATCATTTCTAATTAACTTTTGGTGTTTAAAAAGATTCTACAATGGAAATATTTAGAATATAATTAATTTTAATGATTTACTTTAACTAAAAGAACCAATAAAAAAAAAAAACGGTAGCACAGGGGGTTGCGACACAGTATGGACGTGGCATATATGGGACAACTATAGATGATGATATCTGACAGTAATTTAAATCACCATCATAAGAAACGCTTCTAAGCAAATCTTTACATAATGTTTAATTTTAAGAAATTGGTAGATTATTTCAAAAACAACAATAACACTTATTCCCTTAATTTTATCACGATTTATAATTATAATATATGAATACATAATAATTACAGTAATTAAATGTAGTATGAAATTGATATTCAATAATATTGTAATTTTTACGGAGATATTATAAAAATAAAAAAAAAACCCAGCACAGGGGAGTCGCCGCATAGTGGTGATGTGGCATAGTTGGATCAAGTATAATGATATCTGACAGTGATTAAAATCACTATCAAAAAAAACGCTTCGATGCAAATCTTTAGATAGTGTTTAATTTTAAAAAATTGATGGATTATTCCAAAAGTTACATGATCTGTTATTTTCTTATTAATATCCTGAATAAAAAAGGGATTATTAAAAAATATTATTTCTCATAAAAAAATTGTATTTATCCATACATTTTTCAAAAAGTTATAACATTTTAAAGTAAAAAATGTAAAATATAAAATCGAGAATTTTGGCACAAAAATAGCATTCGGTAGCCATTTTCACCAAAATGAAAATCTATATTTCGATTTTTTTATTTTCATAGTTAAGTATATAATATAAGCTTTAATTTAAGATTAAATAAATGTGTTAATATTTCAGGAACATTTTTAAAAATTTAATTGAAAAACCTTAACATGTATGCAAAAATTACTTTTTTAAATCCTCCCCTGTAAGCAGGTCAAGTGTTAGTTTTTAAAAAATGATATTAAATGAAAGGAAAATATCTAAGGTTTTAAATAAAAAAAAATTATGTTGATTTGTTAATTTTTGAAAAAGTTATGGTATTTTTATAAGTATTAAAATATTTCATGTTAAACAGTGATTTTTACATAAAAATTACATTTTTCGTTAAATTCGACGGCCATTTACTAAAAAAAGATTTTTNTCTATACTGGACCCAACTATGCAACATCCCCACTATGCCGCGACCCCACTGTGCTGGGTTTTTTTCATTGTATAGTACATGACATAACCTTTAATTTGATATAAGTATAAGAACGAAGTATTTTCAAAAGTTAAGTTGAAGAAGTTCTATTTTTTATACAATGTTTCAAGTTTTGAACGTCCCTATATAAGAGGAAATTATCAAATTTTAATAAAAAGTATGTCAAATGAAAGATGTACTTATAATGTATTTAGAAAAAAAAAATTTGTTTTGATACATATATTTTTCGTAAAGTTATAGCAATTTAAAGTTGAAAAATTTAAATCGAAAATTTTTTACCCAAAAATAACATTTTTTTAACTACGACAGCCATTTGTACGTAGAAGATAAATAGTCAGGACAAATTTTTTTTTTCATTATATAGTACATGACATAATTTTTAATTTAATATATGTTTAAAGAACGCAGTATTTCCGGAACATTTTCAAAAGTTAAGTTAAAAAGTTAGTTTTTGTTAAAAAGTTGCTATTTTATATACCCTCCGTGAGCAAGTTGTGTTAGATTTTCAAAAAAATGATATTAAATGAAAGGGAAATATCTAACGTTTCAATATAAAAAAAAACCCAGCACAGGGGGGTCGCGGCACAGTGGTGACGTGGCATAGTTGGATCAAGTATAATGATATCTGACAGTGATTAAAATCACTATAAAAAAAAAACGCTTCGATGCAAATCTTTAGATAGTGTTTAATTTTAAAAAATTGGTGGATTATTCCAAAAGCTTCATAAACTGCTAGTTCCTTATTAATATCCTGATTAAGACAAAGTATGTAGAATAAAAAAGAGATTATTAGAAAATAGTATTTCCCATAAAAAAATTATATTGATCAATACACTTTTCAATAAGTTATAGCATTATAATGTTAAAAATGTAAAAAATAAAATTGAGAATTTTCACACAATAATAGCATTTGGTAGCCATTTTCACCTTGAAGATAAAATAAAGTCCGAAATTTTTTTTTTCCATGATAAAGTATATTACATTAGCTTTAATTTAAGATATATATAAAAGTGTCAGACTTTCCGGAACACTTTCAAAATTTAAGTTGAAAAAGTCAATTTTTTGTGAAAAAGTTGTCATTTTGAATCCCCCCCTGTAGGCAGGTAAAAACTCAAATTTATAAAAAAAATATACCAAATGATAGGTAAAGACATCATGCATCTACAAAAAAAAAGAATTATATTGATCCATACACTTTCGAGAAGTTATAGCATTATAAAGTTAAAAATATAAAAAAGAATTTTTTTACAAAAATCGTATTTTTTTTATTAAGTTTAATGTCTGTTTTCACCATGAAGATAAAATAAAGTCCGAAATTTTTTTTTACCATTATAAAGTATATTACATTAGCTTTAATTTAAGATATATATAAAAGTGTCAGACCTTCCGGAACACTTTCAAAAGTTACGTTGAAAAAGTTCTACTTTCTATATGCATTTTTATGTTTTGAATCCCCCCTGTATTTAGGGAAATGGTCCGATTTAAAAAAACAGTATGTCGAATGAAAGATCTATATAAATACTACTTCTCATAAAAAAATTGTAATGATTCATACATTTTTCAAAAAGTTATAGCATAATAAAGTTAAAAATGGAAAATACAAAATCGAAAATTTTCACACAAAAATAGCATTCGGTAGCCATTTTCACCATGAAGATAAGATAAAGTCCGAAATTTTTTTTT